CTCAACTGTCCCTACAACAATCCTAGTTTCCAGGGTWCCGAGGCTCAAATCAAGAACTTGAGAAACCACCATAAAACTAGCAACGAGCCAGCCACCTCCAAACTCCAAGCCTGGAACCAATCGGCAATAAAATCTCCCCTCACTGTTGCTCACCTGGGAAGAGTGTTTACTTAAAATCATGCCTGAGGCTTCCATTTCTCTGCCAGTTTGTTCACGGAGTAGGGCTTTCTGTGTGGGCCCAGCTGGCCTGTCTCCATGTGGGCACATCTGTCATCGAGGCCTCCTGGAGGCCAGGCCCTATCCCTGCCTGCACATCTGGTCTGTCCTGCAACTGTCCACCTGCTACCCCTCAACCTCCAAGGTCAGCAGTGTCCAGCTGGCTGTGCTTTAGGATCTCACAGGTCTTTCCTGCTGGTGGTGATGACAATGCTAATAGATGTTAACAGAAACCTACTGAGAACTAACTTCATGCYAGGCTCTGCCGTCAGTGGAATCCACATGTACAGTAACCCCAAGATTATAACACTTAGCACTGCCGTACCAACCAGGAGTGCTGGACCCAGACAGGTTAAGAACTGGCCCAAGGTCACCCAGCAGGCAGGACTCCAACCCAGGTTTGACTCTGCTCCACACTGCACATTTGTATGTATAGGTCTATTTGGCATGAACTTGGGYGGAACCCAAAGCCTCTGCAGCCCCAGTTCCTGCTCTGTGAAATGCACGCCATCGTGTCTGTCCGACCAGCTGTTACACACCTTTAAAAGTCAAGCGTGTGGCCCTGGAGCCGGTGCCACATGAGGATTGGTTGTTGGTAGCAGTGACATGRTGTTGGGGGAAGCACTGAGACAGGCTGAGTTGGGGTCCACCCATCTGAAATTCCTGACAGGGGCCAAGAAGGTGGGTGCGGAGGCCGAGGCCGGCTCCGTCCGCAGGGATGCCTTCCTCTCTTTGTCCCTTGGTGGCCCCTTGTCCTTTAAAGGTTCTGGAACTTTGGAAGCAATTAAGTTTTTTCCACCTTCCTTCAAAGCTGACTTTGAATAAAACCTGTGTTCCTAGCAGTGGGACTCAATATTTCTGGAGCCCGGAGCATTATGGCCTCCTGGGTGGGAGCGGGTTAGAGCAGGAGGAGGCTCTCTGACAGGGCGCTTCCCTAGRATGTGTGACCTTGGACAAGCTGCAGTCCTTGCCTCCTGCCCTCCGGCCCACAGTGGGAGAGTATCCACCCCAGGAGTTCCTGGTAGTCACATGAGAACCGCAGCCCACCAGCCAGTCCAGGGCCAGAGCCAGTCCTCCTGSGGCTCCCAGGAACACCAGCACCTCATTAGCGGGTGATTTAGTGCTTGGTGCTGCTGGGTGACCTTCCCCTCACCCCAGCCCCCTGCTTCCTAATCTGTCAGCAGATCTGCTTTTTGTCAGAAAGAGGGAAAACAAGGTTCCCACCCCAGAGCATTGATCTGCAGTCTGTCCAGGGAGTGAGGACCCAGGACAGAGCTGCTCAAGCCACAMATGGTCACGTATTTCTGTCTCCACTCTGCAGTTTGGAGGCTGTGCTTTTAAGAGCCGAGAGCCTGGTGCTCCAAAGGCTGCCTGCAGCGCAGGCACCTGCTCATCAGGCCCAGGTCACCACAGGGAGGACTCTGAAGTGCCCTCTGCAGCGGGGTGGGGGKCACTGGTCTAGAAGTCTTTGTTTGCCCCGCCCCTCCTGGGACCCCAGGTGCCCCCCTGCCTGTCTCTGACGGACAGTGCATTCTCGGCTGGTGGCTTCTGGGCTCTGCCTTCTACGCTGCTGGGGGGACACTTCTGAGCAGGGCTGCACCTCCACCCCTCGTCCCCTTGAGAAGCCTGAACAGATTTTCAACCAAGATCCGCTCAATGAGCCAGGCTTTAAGATTGAGCTCCAGGGCTGGGGGTGACTCGGTGGCGGAGCACTTTCCTAGCAGGCCAAGGCCCTGGGCTCCRTCACCAGCCCTGGGGRRAAAAAAAAAACGTTGAACCAAGCTCTGGAGTTTCAGGGAATGTACTGAGTGCCACCAAGCTGTGCGCTCCGGGGAGGTGCAGACTGGATTGTGTGCTCGGTGGGTTTTGCCCAGGACAAAAGTCTGAGTCCTCTGCTGAAGGGCTGGGGCTGTT